GAAGAGGGAGAAGGGGGGGAGGGGGCGAGATAAAAAGGGGGAGAGAAGTACGAAGGGGAAGGCGGTGAAACCAAAGGGGGCGCGATCACAGTGACTAAAGGGACGGGGATAAATCAAGGGGAGATTAAGAGCGAAGTAAAGTAAATGAGGGATCGGCAGAGAGAGGGAGAGAGAAAGAGAGAAGTGCAGCGAGACCCAACAACGTGAAAACGTACCCGCTAAGCCCAGAAAACGTTCGGTTTCGTGTCGTTCTTTCCCTCGCGCTGACCCCTCTGCCACGAGTCTGACATATACGATTCGCTCGCCGGCGCACGAACCCCCCCTCTCGCCCGCCCCGCGAACCCCGCTGACAGAAGACGAGGGTCCCATTCGCTCTCCTGTCCATTTCTCGCCGGGGAAGGGAGATCTCCCACTCTTTGACTCCCTTCTAAATTCTCGCCGTCTCCCCCCCTCTCTCTGTCAAGTGAACGTTCGACAAAGCGAAAATAGCGTTTTTGCGATAGCGTTTGTTTTGGATACGGCGTAAAGCCGCGCGAAATTGATAATGCGACTCGGACGCGAAAATCGCGATGACAGCTGCGTCGAGTGCGGTATTTCACCGTATTCGACGTACGTGTATTCGCTGACGTTCGGCCCGCTCACGCTTTTATTTCGCAATGCAGCTGTTCGCCGGGACAAACGCGCTACGAGAGAGAGAGAGAGAAAGAGACGTGAGTTACCGTCACAGATCGCTACATACGCATTCGTCGCCGGGCTCATCGGCCGAAACTAACCTCCGTCCTTCTCCCTCGTGCGTGCACGCATGCACGCCGATCCGCAGCTCCGCTCGCGAGGACGTGCAGGGGCGACGAAAATAGCCGTCGTAGATGAGCGCCGCGGCACCTCATTCACCCACACACGCGACTAAAATAGAACCGACGCGCGGTCCGCGCAAAATTCCCGAATCGACCGGAGCGACGCCATTCTCGAACGAGATTCGCATAACGCCCGCGGCACGGATCAGTTATTATATAGAAGGGAAACACGGTTAATCGAGCGTTTCCACCCACACATGAAAATCGAAACAAATAAAATACGAATTGTATCGCGGAAATTAATCATGTGAAAACGTGTCTTTATGCATGCAGAGAACGTCTTTTCGCGCAATTTTTTCCTTCTTTTCAAATCGGCGATTTAATCAAACAAGCTGGCACTGGCCCAATTAACAACATTTGTTATCGTTAATTTATTAAGAATCACTGCGTAGAATACCGTTAAATTGTTGATATATATGTATTTTTAATTATATAAAATATATAGGATCACTTTAATCTATTATCTGCAAATATCGCAAACAGCATTTGTCAATAATTTAGAATACCAACAAACATTCATCACAAAATATTTCCACTGTTATCTTATTATAATTGTTTATGTATCATAAAACAAATAAATGTTTATGCTGCATATGGAAGAGAAAAGAAAAACTTAAAAGTATAGAAAACACAGTTAAAAATAATTCATTCAATTCATCGAATTGTGTCAAATAGAATTGCTCGTTCATACATTTGTATCATAATCATAATAAATATATATATATATGCGTATTTTAATAAGAATTTACAAGAGTTTTTATAGTATAAAACTATAAAGTATATATAAAAAAAATGTTGCCCAAAAATTTATTTGTAGAGTCAAAAAATGTAAAAATATATGTTTAATCAAATTTCCATATGACTTATTGTGTATGTCTCTAAAGTTTATTGTTTTTTTTCTAGCAAACACTGCTTCTTCACTATTTAGTACTTATATGATTACGCGTGTGTAAAACAAAAATATTATACACATTATTACTTTATAATCATATAATCACATAATAATTATAAAGTAGTATATGAGAATAACGCAAGTTTAATGTATTACATTATACAATTGCATTTGTTTTCTATATAAAACTAAATTATTTAAAATTTTTAAATTTAAAAAGTTATAGCTTCTAGAAAATCTCAATCACAAAAAACTAGATTATTTTATTCAATTTGCGTTTTTTTTATTATGACCGAGCAATTCATAGGAATATCACTTAATTATATAAATCAATGTCTTTTATTTTATATTTACGCCACACTGTCATTCATATTAACACTCTTGCAATAAGTTTGCAAGCAATTCTGGGTTAGCAATATATTGCGTTCACAATAAAAAAAACTAAAAATGAATTGTTTAGTTAGCTCTAGGATCAATGTAGCCGGCTTGAATTACCGAACTGTATACGAATAATCGTTTGATTGCAAACCACTGCTCACTTGTGATTGATAATATAGAGAAGTAAAAAAGGACCCAGCTTAAATACCTAGGCGACTAAAAACATTGGGTTTCTTAATATGTGTTACTGTGGGCATTTTACTGAAAGTCACTTGTTTGGCAGTGGTTGTGCCGAGACGTGCCTTGGCTGGTATGGAAACAAGTCGTTCGGAAGCTACAAAAACAAAAATATCAATAAGAACAACTATTCATGTGCAAATATATTTATGCACTAATAAAATTCATGTAAAATATATATATATACCTAATTTGCCAGATGTAACGGAAGGTTTATTAATTCTTTCACTGCTTGGTTTGCTGATAGAATTGGGTATATTCTTCTTTAGCTTAAGTATACGATTCGTGTTATTTAACGTAGTTTTCTTGCTGGCTTCATGATCTGCACGCATAGTACCTACAGTTTTAGGTATAACTCTATTGGTTATAATGGATGTGCGTGTAGAAGACGACGTACGACTCTTTAGTATACCCGGTGAACTGCTGACACTCGATCCGTTCTTAAGTATTCCTGCAGTGGACACATGATCCTTCTTATCATCTATGTCACCCAGACGATTAAAGACACTAATTGATCTCTTGAGCACATCCTTGCTAATACCAGTAATGTTAAAAGTAGGTGATGTGTCAGCTAAATTGGTCGTGCTTGTAACAGAGCTGTCGCCTAATCTATCAAATACCGTTCGTTTTTGCTCAATGGGTTTCTTAAGTACTTTTGGTCTTATATTTGATATCTTTGGAACAGTAACGGTATATTCGACAGTATCGTCTTCGCTATCATTTGCTACCTTTATCTTTTTCTCTGCAATATTCCAATTATCTGCAACATTCCCTTCATATACTTCTTCCGATACCAATTTTCTCTTGATAGGCATCTGCTTTTGATTAACGGCATTGGTAGTATTAGATGCAGAAATTGGCTTCTTTAGAGTCACAATCTTCTTCGTCATTGTAGACAAAGGTTTAACTATTTTCTTTGTAGAGTCTACCTTTGAAGCTGTTGAAACTACTGTCTTATTTCCAATTTCTTTGACTACTTTTTTTACGACAGGTTTGGCAGAAACAGCCTTTGCAGCTGAAATTGGAGCATCTTCTGAATCAACTAAAAATCTCTCACATGTTGTTTCTTCGACTACTTTCTTGGCATATCTCAAAATAGCAATCATATCTCCCATTAATGTGATGCCCATTTCTTTGAGACTAGGTTTATCCAAATCTGGTAACATATCTGGTTTAATACGATTATTTGAGAATACAACTGCATGCTTAGTGGCCACATCTTGTGGAAATCCAGCTCCTTTGAAAAATTTTACCCAATAAGCTATAAAAAGCAGAATTATGACAGATGACTATAAAATATATTTATGAGCAATGTTAAAACAAACAATAAAAAAAGATATATGTATACATTTGAAACAAATAGAATATGGTATTGTTTTATTTATTATATTCATTTACTTTGTTTATTATTTTTATTTATCTTTTTTATAAAAATGCATATTTTAAACATACTAAGTTTGAAAAATTATTGTAAAGTATATTTATAACTTGCCTGACAAAGATGCAGCCATTTCGATAGTTGAAATAATGCAATAAGATTGTCTTTTAGTTTTCGCGACTAATTAAACGAGAAGCCGAATTTTCAAGTATATATCTTAGCCAGTTTCTTGTTCATGATGTGAACAGCAGCTCCAGTTGGGTCCAAATTAAAATCAAAGCACTATCTTCGGTTCGGAAACACACAAGTTTGGAGAGAGTACGTTAGCAGATGTACCGGTTCCAAATCGTCTTCAGATCTTATACAATATTGCAAGAAATTATTAATAAACATGCCATTTCTCCATCATGACTATATATGTATATACTATATATACATATATACACAACATAATTCACGTAAAACGTAAGTTCATGAACGAGCATATACTAAACGGGATACATAGATGAGGATATCGAAGATTCAAAGATTGATAAAGCTTGAACCTGATTGGTTACACTGTTTTGTTTATTGACATTTCTGATTGGTCGTCGACATAACTTGTCCAATTATTAAAATAACAATTTAAAAATTTTTGTACTTATTTTATATATATCAAAACGAGTATTGTGTTACAAAAATTGTATAAATTATACTAAATTTCTCGGTTATTTGTTATTAGTCTTGGAATTTGTTGTTTTATCGACAGTCTCTAAATGATTCACGTAGTAGGCGTCATTTCCGGTCGGTTTGGCGAGGAAAGTTGCTGAATCCGGTTCGCCATTTTATTTAGCTTGTCGACGTCGTGGTGTAACCATCGCTTTCACATTCTAAACTTGATCAGAGTGTTCGAGCTGCTCTATTGAGAGCGCTCGTCGTCTGTACGTTGTAGTTCATAATAGCTCAGTCTCAAGCGTTTTTCGTATATCTCTTTTTCTCTTGTCCACAAGCAGCGTGAAAAGTCTGCGGTGTTGCTAATGCGTGGCGTTTCAGAGAGCTCGCCGACTCGCGCGATGGCGGAGGATTTGGATGTCGAAGCCATGCTGGAGGCGCCATATAAAAAGGGGGTAAGCTTCATTTTTCTATTAAATTTTATTCCTATCTTTTGACCATTATTTTCTCTTTCTCTCACATTCTATCTTACCGCCATCATTTTCCGTCTCGCTCATGCTCGTGAATTGCATTATCTGGATGTCTCCAGGTTTTTTTTCTATATATATATATATATATATATATGCACTCGTCGCGTACGAGAGAAAGAGAATCCTCCATTCCTCCGTCCTTTTCTCTTACTCTCTATTCTTTTACTCTCTATATATCTCTCTCTTTCCATGTGTGATATATGGATAGTTTATATACATGTATATGTGTAGAACAAAGTACGCCCTTGTCTCTGATGTACAAACTATTGATCAACACCTCCATTTTCTGTACTTATAGATGGTACGTAACATGTACCCTCGCGCTCGTAGGACGTTCGCCAGCGAGTTCCTAGAGTGCACTTGAAAGACGAGGTATTAAGACAGCAATCATCTAACATCATTCTCTACTCAATTCTTTTTTTTTTCTATCTCTTTCCTTCCGTCTAATCTGTTTTATTTTTTTTATAATTTTTTTAGGATTTTGTGTTATAAAGAGGCGTAATATTTGATCAAATTAATATGTAAATGGTGTCTCGCTGTCATGGCGGTGCACATTCAAACATAGGCAATTCTCATCGTCGATTATAATTTGTGAACCTATAGACAGCCATGTGTTGTTTGTGTTTCGAAAATATCGGTACCCTTAGATAGGAATTTCAAAGGTTTTTGCAAAAGATCTTATGTGAGTAAGAGCTGCGTGAATGCACGGATGTTTGAATTTAAGAATGTGTGATTGAGAATTTAATGAAGCATATATTAAAAGATTTTTAGATCCTAGGATCTATAAATTTTGTTGTCGATGCATTTGAAATTAGAACACACAATTTAAGAGATTCGTAAATTTGTAGGTCCATGGATTTGAGGGTCTAAATATATGTTGATTCAAAATTAAATTACTCGTATATGTGCATAATAAAATTTTTATATATAATGGGTGAGATTTTCAAATGTGTACTTGTTGCACTTTACAGTGCAATACAATATTTTTTGCATAAATTATGTAACATTGTTTTGCTGAGTCAAAGGTGTTATCTTATCTTTAAGATATAAGAAGCCTAAAAAAGGGTATTCCGTATTTAACAAGTCTGATAATACTCTATTTACATCTTCCTTCTCTTTCTCTCTTGAAGGATCTAGAGAAACTAATATTTGCAAGATTATTTTCCAAGGATAACATTTTCATTTCTTACTGATTAATAGATTATTTTAATTACAATTATTTTATTTTTACATTTGTCATTATGGTGCATAATGATTATAAATATACTGCAATACATTATGAAAAGTAACATAAGAAAAGTTTAATATATTTTTATCATGATTCACATAAATTGAGAATGTTATTTGCAGTATTATTTATTTCCACATTTAATTCACTCTTTGCTCTGTTTATATACAAAGCTGTAAGATGCATTTATCAAGTTATATCGAATCGTATTAAAATGATTCCCAATATTTCTAGGCAGCCTCAAAATGTTTTACTTATAACAGTTCACGAGCGAGCTCATTTTACAAAATATTTAAACCCTATCCATTATTTTTGTACAACTTGTAATGAAAGCAATTTGCCTTCTAGGTAGTGCCATTGGTCAGGTATCACAACACTTAATTGCGGTGCGACAGAAGACACGTCAAGCTTCAAAAATTTTTATAATGCTTTTAGCTTATTATATTATTCTCTATTAAATCCCACGTTCTCGAGTTGCTTATAAAGTGTCTATCCATTTCGTGGACTTGTAATTGTGAATAGATGTTCATTGGCTATAGAGTTCCATTTTTTTAAAGAAATAATTACATAGAAAAGTATAAATGTTGAAGTTGTGCGCAGTACTTTAACTTACTGATAATGAGCTGGTTTTTAATATAAATGTATATTACATTTATTTGTGACTTATGTCCCCAAGAAATTGGATAGGAATTTTGTAAGCATCTTGTATTACATATCAAGTTTATTAACGACCACATGAAAGTATGGTAAACTGGTTAGTAAGCTGAAAATGTGTGAAGACTACAATTAAATTTATTCAAGAAAATGTTTCAAAGATTTCTCTGTTATTAGAATAATTTGCTTGCCATATTTTTAGTCAAATTTAATGACAATTTAACATGAATTAATTTAAATTACATGGAAAAAAAAAGAACGTTAGAAACATTTTCTGCATTTTACGAGTGGTTGCAAAGTGCTCATGGCCCTGATATAGAGAAGAAGGAAAAAAAAAAGTGGTCTAAAATATTCCTAAGAGAGACACACATTCCCTAATGCGCGCGGGCAATCGTAGGCTAGCGATTAGGGTTGCTCACTCGCGTCTTTCGCGTTTATCCCGTTTTGAAATCGTGCTGTCTTTGATGAGGGCTCTCTTTTGCAGAAGAAAAAGGATGTTTGGTTGGCCATTGGTAGTTTAAAGACCAAGGCATGCTCAACCCAAGATTGCAATGCTTTCCTAAAACCCGATAAAGCGATTGGTAAGTTTGAGCCAGGTGCATGCGACCGTGTCGCATCGCTATGCTCGCCCCGTCTCTCTTTCTCTCTTTCTGTCACACGCTCTCTCTCTCACGCTCGCTCTCTCTTCTCTTCTTGCGCCTTCCCTACCCCTCAGCGCTCTCAGAGACCCGTAGAGTCCTTGGAAGTAAAACAGAAAAGATGAGAAAGAGCACGAGAATTGACGCCGACGTCTGTCTCTGTCATCCAGCATCAAAAAAAGCATTGCTCTTCAGCAGCAAGGAAAGGTTGCTACCATAGTGCTGACAGGCGATTAAGAAAAAAAAATAAGAAAAAAGAAAAAAAAAAGATTCTCGTTTCTAATTCTTGCTGAATTTGATATAAAAAGAAATTAGAAATAAGAACAGAAAAGATGTATATATTTATCTATATATTTTATATAGCAAAAAAGACTGTCGTTACGAAATTTACTAACGTTCTACGATTTGCTTTTTGTCCCCTTTGTTCGCGCGTCCCTGCCACATCGGCTGGCTGGCATGGCATTCAACTGTTTGCTGTTCGTAGGAGCAGGACTCCTCCTCCAAAGACAAGTCCTCCAAGGAGAATGGGTCTAGCCGAAAATCGTCTGGGTGAGTGGAAGCTTTCTCTTTTAATATTATATTTGATTATGTTTAAAAATTAAGGATCAATTAAATGAAGAAATAGATGATACTTAATTGCACGACCCTCGTATTTAACTTTGAAACTAAACGCGACTAGATGACTCTCTATCACGTGTAAAATTTAGACTTCGGTGGTCTTGCTAAGATATATATATCAACTTGCCATCATCTTGCTTTCATTTGTCATGTTTTTCGAATTTTTTTGCTTGAATCATTTTCAAAGTAAACGATTCGCATTCAGTCTGGATTATGGCATTCAATGTGACACGTTAATGATAAAAGGGGTAACTGATAACATCCAATAATATTTTGCATGTCAATTAAGAATTGTGTTTCGTCTTTTTAATTTGGTGTCATTCATACGTGAAAAAGTTTTAGACAGTGAAATATTCTTTTACTTCATTTTCTTGTGCTGTTTTGTGCCTTTGTTAGAATATCCTTAACCCAGAACTGTATATTCAAAGCTGCATAGATGCCAAAATTGTTAAAAAGTACTTGTGATTATTTGAGTATTGTGTTAGCATGTCAGTTTTTCGACACTGTTGGTTTACACTGTCAATTTGAGTTAGAAAAAAAAAAGTCATACCGTTATTTCCTGTCGCAATACATTTTTGTGATATCCGTATATAATTAGTCTTTGTGCCATAATTGAAGCAGCAACGTTAGTCACTCGCCTAACAGACCCATCTGAAGTTTTATTCTCTTTGTTATAGACCCCATACAATTAGTATATGCTGGTTATTTTGATAATTCCAAAGGTTAAACCTGATGATGGTAAGTATATAGGAAGATTATCCGTACTACAGATTCCTCTTACGAACTCGAAATGTACTTCCTTAATCGCACCGAGCGAGAATAAAAGTATATAAATTCGCGAAGCTGCATTTAACAAACGAGTTAGGTAACTATCAAAGAATATACCAGAAAATTCGCAGCTTTGTTTTGCGGGTGAATTAAGTATTGTGGAATTGAGAATACATTTTCCAGCATTCCACTTATGCTATTCTGCCATTATCCGTTTAAATTGTAAAAAGGTAGAACTATAATCGAAATTAAATATTTTAAATGATACTTTGTATTAAGAAAATAATTATTATAAACATCAATTCACAGATGTTTAGACGTTTCACTTCAAATTAGCATTTAGCATTATTTGATAATATTTTGGGGATTGGATTTATAGGATATTTCCGATTCTTTTGATAATTTTAAATTTGATCACTCACTTATCATTTTTCAATATTCAGTCCTTTATTGCTTAGCGACTATCGCTACTTTGGCTTAGTAACAAACACACAATTTCTTTTAGTTTGTGTCTAGCGTAAACTAATCTGATAAAATCCTATATACAAACGCTATGTCAAAAATAGCGATTTTTCATACGTCACTTTGTTATCTCCACTTTTGATATTTAAAGGTTTAAGAGACATGTCCTTCCTTGTAGAAGATGAACCTTTTTAATTAAAGTATTTTTCTTTCGTAGGAAAAGCAAACATCGCTCACGTTCTCGTTCAAGATCTCGGGATCGCGATCGCCGAGACAAAGATCGACGGGATCGTGACAGGGACAGGGATCGGGACCGGGAAAGGGATCGCGATCGCGGCGATCGCGGTGATCGCGGTGATCGTCGGCGCAGATCACGATCACGAGACAGGCGAGATCGGGACAGAGATCGTGAGAATGATCGGGACAGGGACAGGCGGGACAGAGATCGGGATCGAGATAGAAGGAGAAAGAGATCGTTGACACCGTTGACTCTTCCTAGAGCTCGACCGCCGTTCGGCAAAGGTCACAGTCCCCTTGGCATGTAAGTGTTACATCAAAACTTTTGTGTTGATCAAATTTTAGCAGTTTTTATTCATCTATCTGCAAATTATATTTATTCGTTAATTTTCTCATGTATATTGATATTAAAAAAAGGCATAATTGACTAGACCCAGGCATGGAATTGTAATCTGTGATTTTGGGGGATATGTTTATGCTAGATTAATTTGGATATTAAGTTCTATTTGGTTTCACTTGTCAGTGTTGCATATGTAAATAGTATGAATAGACGTTAATATTCAACAAAGTCAGTTATCGAGTCAATTGTCAGTCAGAATACTACAAACTTTCATGTATTATGTTCTCTTCTTTATACTTATTAAATTGCAATATTGTGCGTTTTTTAGAAACGATGAATTGACTCCAGAAGAAAGAGATGCCCGAACCGTTTTTTGTATGCAACTAAGTCAACGAATTCGTGCGCGTGATTTGGAGGAATTCTTCTCGAGCGTCGGTAAAGTGCAGGATGTTAGATTAATTACATGTAATAAGACACGAAGATTCAAAGGCATTGCCTACGTGGAATTTAAGGATCCAGAAAGTGTGACGCTTGTAAGTTTATATTAATTCATGTTGATATACAATTAGAAGTAACACTGTTTTGCAAAATGTTTCTCGAACGTTCATGATTAGCGAAAGTTTCTGAAAGGATTTGATGTATTTTATATGTAATTGAAAATATTTTCTTCAATTTTCACACATTTCTTTGCAGGCTCTTGGTTTGTCTGGTCAAAAACTTCTTGGAGTGCCTATTGTAGTACAGCATACACAAGCTGAAAAGAATCGGATGGGAAACTCGATGCCAAATTTAATGCCTAAAGGACAGACGGGTCCTATGCGATTATACGTCGGATCTTTACATTTTAATATTACAGAAGATATGCTTCGTGGAATCTTCGAGCCATTTGGAAAGATAGATAACATACAATTAATAATGGATCCTGAGACGGGCCGTAGCAAAGGTTATGGATTCTTAACAGTAAGTTTTTATATTATATTTTATTATATTATATCTGCATAGTGGAGTAGACCTGGTGTTAAGTGTGTTATGCTTTCACTAGGGGGATATACATATGCTAGATAAAAAATGTTATCTCTAAAAATCGTAGCACATGCGAGTAACCGTATGCGAACCAACAATGATAACATGACACGCCAAAAACACTTAAGCAATTATTAACTTCATAATCCTATATAAAAGTTTTCTTTCTAAATATGCGCAAAGATATTATTTCTTTTATTTGTATTCGTGTAAATGCTTGTATTTTTCGTCACATATGCATAAAACTTAAAAATTTTATTGCGTTTTTAGTTCAGAAATGCGGACGACGCGAAGAAAGCGTTGGAGCAATTGAATGGGTTCGAGCTCGCCGGTCGACCTATGAAAGTCGGAAACGTAACAGAACGAACCGATCTGATTCAAGGGCCATCACTGCTTGATACCGACGAATTGGATCGTAGTGGTATCGATCTTGGAGCGACTGGCAGGTATGTAAAATAAAAAAAAATATAGCAGAAAAAATACTAGTGACCAGAGTGATACGATAATTAAACGCACGATATTATTCTTACAGATTACAATTGATGTTCAAATTGGCGGAAGGTACCGGCCTGGAAATTCCTCCCGCAGCAGCTAACGCTTTAAATATGGCACCAGTCATGACACAGCCACAGCCACCACCTCAAGCCGCGCCTCCCATTGCGACACAGTGCTTTATGTTATCAAACATGTTTGACCCACAAAAGTAAGTGCCACAAGTTTTCCTTTATCGCAAAAACACGTATAAATTTGCATAAAGGAATTGAATTGCATAGGGTAAAGACCCGGTGCTGAGTGTATATGCTTTCACTGGGGGGACATATATGCTAGATAAAAATGTTATCTCTAAAAATTGTAGCACATGCGAGTAACCGTATGTGAAACTAATGACGATAGCTGACACGCCAAACAACATTCCTAAATTATTAGTTTCATGATCTTATTCAACGTACAGATACATCTTATTATCGATCAAATTATCATTATTCTATTCTACACTCAATATCTCTGTTCTTTTGAAGTTTAATTTAAAATTAGAATTTTTGTCGCTGTTATTTCCAGCGAGACGAACCCTAACTGGGCGAAGGAGATCCGCGATGACGTTATTGAGGAGTGCAACAAACACGGCGGCGTACTACATGTGTATGTGGACCAAGCGTCGCCGCAGGGCAACGTCTACGTGAAGTGTCCATCGATCGCGACCGCGGTAGCGGCCGTGAACTCGTTGCACGGGCGATGGTTCGCCGGCCGCGTTATAACTGCCGCCTACGTGCCGGTGGTGAATTACCACTCGTTGTTCCCGGATGCGATGACCGCGTTGCAACTGCTGGTGCCGAGCGCGCCGCGAAGAGGGATGTGATCTTAAACGAGCGAGCGAACAGCAATTGTCATTTACTAATGTGTAAATCCTTGCGTAGTGCATTCTCTCTATCTAATACACTTTCTCGTTGCTGTCCGGCCGGATTGTATTTTCTATTCATTGATAAAGCAGGGAAAGAAAGCAAACTGAGGAACAGGTTTCGACGTTATTGCACCTTAAGGGATAGTGTCACACGTGTCATGTTGCGTAAATTCACTGTGGCATAAAAGCAATAAGTTCGATTCGACTTGTTTTTCACGGCACACGCATTGTTTACATAAAACTTCTGTGACGATCAAAGTTTGATCACGCCAGACCATGGCACATTTCGAGAATTTGTTTAGCACTTTGAATCTGGCTAATCAAACATGTATTAGAAAGTTTATGGATTTTAAAATATTTCTACGTTACATGTCGTATATATATTTATTTTATTTAATTTTCTCTTTCGCAACATAATATAAAAAACCGACATAATTATAGTATATTATATACCAAAATAATTATAGTATTTGTTGCTGAAAAGAGAAAGTACGCGAACTCTTTCATTTCTTTTATTTATTTAAAAATTATGAAAGGCGAGGTGGTGATTGAAAAATACAAAGATGCGATAAAAGTCAAGTTTATAGCGGATTCAAAGCGTTAACAATTACGATGGAGTTTGATTTGAAATAAAAACACTCGTGTCAAAATTACAAGTACATAAGTATAATATTTATTGACAACGTAAAATTTTGTTTTATACATGTAGTAGGCGTTATTATGTTTCACGGTCGAAGGTGATGTGTTTTTGAATAAGTTTTAACGAGAGATGTCCAATCATTCATAGCGATAGAATGTTAAACAAAGAGCAAAAAACCTTAATTCTTTCATTCCCATTCTACACTTCACTTATATTTGTATTTAAAATATAAGAAAAAAATATTCAATAAAAAAATAGAAAAAAATTGACAATTGTATTCTAATTCCTGTTACTTTTTTAGTTCATATTTATATTCTTTCTGCATTATGCTTGCAGCTATTATTGAAGTAGAAAACTTAGTTAACGTGTTGATTATTCTATTGATAGCGTTCATTTAAAATTATATTTAAAAAAAATGAAAAGTTTCTTTACCAATTTACTTCAAACTTATGTGTTATGATTATTGGGAAAGAAAGAATTAAGATGTGTATTTGTAATACTTGTAACAAGATTTAGTGGAAGAAAATTACTTGAGTCACAAATTAGATTTATTATATTTATACGGAAGTGAAGGCGAAAATTGGCAACGGAGAATAAGAGGTCTGCAGATAACAGCGATCTTTCAGATATTATTTCACCGATTTGTGATAAGATACTCTTCTGTCAGAATAATTTAGGTGATATATTAGAATTTAAGCTATTACTATTTTAATAAAACTATTGTGATCAAAATATTAAATATATAATCTTTGTTGTAACATTTTGCTCTCTTTAATGGATAAAACAATACAATCATAGAATATTTAGTATTGAAATATTGTGTATATATATATATATATATATAATGTGTGTCAGTGATTATGAAAGTGGACTAAATAATTTTTTTAATGATTTTTTTATTGTGAGATATTTCAACTTTATAGATAGATACAATATAAAATAAATGATAAAATCAATTTTTCAAAATTTTTAGTCCACTTCCAACGACACATACATACTAGTTATTACGTCGAAAATAATGGACCAAAAGAATAATTTAATTTTTATAGGTGCTCTTATATGAAAAGAAAATGAAAAATTAATTAAACTAATTCGAAATAATCGATTTTTTTTGTGTATTTGTACAATTGTACGTGCTTTCAAATTTCAGATTGACAAACAATTGCGTTAAAAATTACTGGAATTATATGAAATTAGAATTCGGATATCTTTTTAAATGAGATAATAATTCATCCAATTCGTAAAATAATTATGATCAGAACTTGATATAATTATTCACATTAAATAATTTGTACTGAATAATAAAAAAATTTGTGTCTTTCAACTTGATTAGATAGCGAGATGTTATATTCTTAAATCTTACAATTTATGGAGTAATATGAAAAGGCTGAATTAACATGCATTCTGCACGCAGTGTTTCATGTAAAATTATATAGCTGCGTAGTTTCAAATACATAATAGAGAAGATATAATTGTAGACAAAACAGCAAGATAACTTTTCCCAGCTATTTAACTTTTTTATATGGAACAACCTGTAAGTAACCTCTATTCATCATATGAATAATTACAGATTCTGGTAAAATTTCAATGACGCAACACGAAAATACAGATTTTCTGCTTAGGTAAAAAGTAAAAATTTTGTGTAGTGATGTTAAAAATGTATAGTTCAACCAAATTCAAGATCTTATGTTATCTGCAGACCTTTATAAATGATTCATTGAAGAGAGAAGGAAATAAATTGTATATAAGTTTTTGTAAATTAACTTTGACTAGCTGCAGATATAAGTAGTCATTTTACTGTATCTTCATATTATCGAAAGATAAATGTATACTTTATTGATTGTAAACGCAATTATTGTGATTCATGCGAAGTGAAGGATTCGTTTTAAAACACGGGAACTTATTGCATTCCTAATATATATTTCTCCTAATCAACATACTGTTTTCTTACAGATTACAGACTTATAATTTTAGAAACTTTTTTATTTTAGAATACCTATTATTTTCAACATCTTTTCAATTGATATTATTCGATTGAACAAGATGATAAAATTACATAACTACTATTATAGAAAATATGAACTTTATATCTCTTCTATTGCTCTTCTGCTTGTTGAGGATGTTTCCAATATGATTCACATACCTCAACCTACATATATTTATAAAAAAAGGTAATTTAAATTTTACAAAATGATGATTTTACAAATATCAATATAAATTCAATAGTTAACTGATAAATTGATCTGGCAACATGAAAGATTATTAATTTTTAAATAATGAACAGAGTAAATAATTAAAATATTGTAGAATTACAAAATATATATAGAGCATTCAATGAAATTTATACTGATGTTACAAATTACATATTAACATTTGATAAATACGCAAGCTCTTTTATATGTGTACATATTACTTTTACATTTTGCCAGATAGATTTAATTAGCATACACTTGATTGTTTGACCGTTTATTACGAAAATCTGCCAGATTTTGTCGAAGAGTGGAATAGAGAATCAATCTTTAATAAATTGATCCTTCAACAAGCCAGAATTAGTATAGTAAGTAGATGACGATATTAAATTTTCGAATAAAAAATAGAGAGTTGGTATGTAAAAATTGACATTAAACTGATCTCTTAGTGTACAAACCTAATATGTGTATAGTATGTTGATGTGTTTATTATTCTTTTAATTTCAAATCGGCACATAGAGATATATGATCGCTAGGAAATACTACAGACGGCAAACCTGTATGAAGAGTAAGCTCGTCCTTATTGGGCAACGGAATTACTTGCTGTATTTCGAACTTGTCTCTCTCATAGAATATATAGTCCAAACAACCGGAAAATTCCGGCGTGTAGTTTGTGTACTCCGGTGTCCCGCAAGCGCTAGACATGCAGAAATCTTGTGTCAGGGATATATTTTCTATGGCTTCCTCAGCATCTAAAAAATAAAAGGTAATTTTCTAACTTCGCAAAATACAATAATCACGACATTGCATTGCATATAAAATTACAGACAATAATATTAAAAAGAGTTTTTGCAAATTAACACTGAGAAAAGTCACTCACTACTTCTCCAATCCTCGCAGGTTTCCGGAACGTAATTTTCAGTCATCAGTTGATAAATGCCGCATTCTGGCGTACTGTTAAAGTCTCCACACAGTATTATACTCACGTTGCACTCGGGATTCTATCAACATTTCCACAAAGTAAGCGTTAATAAATTAGAATATATATATATAAGGACATATGTCGCATAATAATTCACAAGAATTTATTAGACCGTTTGTTCAAATAATACTTTTAAACGTATAAATTTGTGTTGGAAAAAATATTTACCTCTTCTTGTGTCTTCTTTAGTATCTCGTGTACGTATGCAATCGCGAAATATCCTTGCAACAAACGTATGTGATCCGCATCGGGTTTAAAGTATAAATGCGTGTTACCGATGAGCAAAATTTCAGACTCATTTTCTTTGGATCGTAACGTTGTTACCTAAATCATGAAAAAAATTTGATTTCTCTGATTGATGTTATTAAACATAATAATCATAATGATGTTATTAAACATAATAATCATAATGATGTTATTAAACATAATAATCATAATATCAACATAAGTAATCATACGCGATTACCTGGATGGTTGTATTTCTACTCAAAAATCTGTCCTTTGTCTTTTTGTTGTCGATCTTAGACCAAATTTCGGTAAATTTCGGAAAATCAGTATTTTGAGCCATTACAATGAATTCAAATCCTAATTTCTCGAACCTTTCTTGATTAAAAAATGTGGCAAGTCCCTCGCTAATTTCGTTCTTTGTGACAAACATGCCATCATAATTTAGCATGTATAGAGATGGCAATAAGTCATTCTCGTACACACTTTTATCTACCTCTTGCAAGCAAATTATATCACTATTAAATCCTGTAATATAAAATCGTCACATATAACACATTTGCCTTAGCAATTAAAAATTCTGAAAAATTAATTTTAATTCTTGTTATTCAAGTTGTTTTTTATTATTATTAAAGTTTATTTGATATTGAATAAAACGATTCAAACAACTTGTTAATGCTTTAATGCTGATCTATATACTTTACCTATTATTTCTTTGAGTATCAATTGCTTTCTGTAATCCATATCTAATGCATATTGTGGACAATATGGATATAACACGTCCTTGGAAAAATCAGAATCAGCATATGTATCCGCCAATATGTTATAAGACATCACCCTGAAACTGAATTTGTTTCCCCTTTTAAATATACAGTTTATAAAATGCCTGCATGCTTAATGTATGTTTCGCTGTGTATCCATAAAATAGATTGAATGTTTTATATTAATCATATTTCACAAGTATCATACCTTTTATCAGATAACTTATGTTGTGTAAACTGGTGTCGAATGTCGAATGGACACGGTCCAGGGCCAGCCTCCACAACACCCTTTGACTCTACTTCTGTGATACAACCAGAATCCGATTCATTCCACGGTTCGCAACTAATTTTCAAATTGCAGCCGATGTCGAATGTAGTTGGTACGTAAAGATATCCTTTGCCTACATGTGTCCATAAATCTGGCTTGTTATTAATAGCTTCATTTCTGTACCAGTTGAATATTGATCGTTTCTTGTCGGTGTAGAGTGACTCAAATTTAGATGGATATGTCGGAAAATCCACTAGTATGCTTGATGGCAATGAAATGTTGATGATAAAAGGTGCGTTTCGCTTCACTAAAAACATTTTTTCGAAGATAACTAGTTTAAGCTCTGCAGAGTCTTGCAAAACGCTCTCGCACAACACACTGCCATCCACTAAAATGTCGTCCTTTAGAAGCATAATCTTTCCAGTTTCTACATTATCTCTTGGCAGACTAGCTATTTCAGAAGCGATATCTTTCTTCCTCTTTCTTTCCACCTAGAGAAAAAAATGTATTAATTGCTTCATATCAAATGTACTTTAAAATGTACTTTAAATCACGATTATCATATTCAATAAAATATACCGTCCTCATCTGCTAAATAAGAATCAAATATAACTGATAATTCTATAGCCTTTAAATTCAAGAAAATAGACTTCAATGTTAAATCAATTATTTTTCTGTCGATTTGCTTATGTGCTTCTCACCTTTCTGTTTACAATCTTGCAAACGTTCGTGTCGACTCTCTTGAGGAAATTGTTTACAGTTTCTGATGCTTGTCTAGAGAAGTTGAACTGACGGTCGACTTTCGTCGTTTCATCGACATAGCGAAACGAAATGTCGAATACATCACTGCCTTTCTCGTAACGAAGAAATGCCTCGTTCATTTTTAGTACGTGTTTCGGTTGTATATGTCTGCTGCGAAATTGTGTGATCAATGAGGCTAGATTTTTATACAGATCCAATTTAGCCGTTAATACACCTCGCATTATATTATAACCATCGATTAATTCAGCTTGAAAATAAATTACAGCTTCTTTCACAGGTATAATTCACAGATATAATTTATTATTCTGTTAAATACTAATTAAATAATTAATACAGGTAAATAATTCTCAAAATTAAGTTTCAGGTTATATAAATACCTTGGCAGCATCTCTCGTACACACGTGCATGGTGTAAACATTTGGAAGTGTTACATCGGAGATGCAGTAATCTACGTAAGCATCGATTGATAAAAAGAGAATTCTTTTATAACGACAGATTATGTTGTCATTAATTATTATAAAAAATTGCTAGATAGCGCTATAAGATTTTAAAAACGCAATTATAAAATTTAAAATTTAAAATTAATTAAATAGCGATAATTATTGACAATTTTTTTATTTTTTATCTTAAAATATTTTTATTTTTGCAAAAGACATTCTTCAGCCAATTTTAAGTTTGCATATTATGCAAGAAATAATCGTATAATACAATCCAATTGCTCATTTATTATTTTTTAATTTCGTTTTTTCTTATTTTTCTAGCTTTGTATCCTCAATGTCATCTAATTGTCTTTCTTCATGTTTTTCTGATTTTGTTTCTCCATTCTTCTCTAATTTTGTTTTTTTGTGTTCTTCTGATTCTCCTACCTCGAGTTTTTGTGACTTTGTTTCTTCACATTCTTCTAACTTTACTTCCTCACATTTCTCTGATTTTATTTCTTCATGTTCTTTTAATTTTGTGTCTTGGTGTTTCTCTGATTGCACTTCTTCATGTTTTTCTAGCTTTGTTTTCTCGAATTTCTCTGATTGCACTTCTTCATCTTTTTCTAACTTTATTTCCTTACATTCCTCTGACTGTACTTCTTCATGTTTTTCTAATTCTGTTTCCTCACATTTCTCTGATCGCATTTCTTTATTCTTTTCTGATCTTGCATCGTTATGTTTTACAATTGTGCTTTCCTCATTTGGAATGTTTTTATTAGATTTCTTTTTAAACTCTTCTTTCTTTTTTCCTTTTAACCGTTCTGCTCTTGTTGGAAATTTCACAGTCACGCATGTTGGTACTTTTCTCTTAACCTGCTGTAAATTTTCAAATTTATTACAGTTCTTTGATAGCAATTTAATCGTTGCTTACCATACGCGGTAGTATTCTTTTGCTCGCAGTTTTTTTAGCAATTACAGTCTTGTCCCAGATTTGCTTCTCTCGCCACCAAATACGTTGATATTCGTTTGACAGCAATTGTTCTATATGAGGATGTCTTTCTCTAAAATATGCAAATTATAGATACAAGCTTATGTACTCAGTATAGAAACTTAAAATATGTTTTGAAATTAAATTTATTATCTTTTATAACTAGGATTTAGAATTTAACATTACTTGATATGTTTTAAAATTGCATTTATTTTCTATTAGTATGCTATCTACACATTATATTATATCCATGATTAAAATAATTATGAGACTGTATTTCAAAATGCATTGGCAGTACTGAAAATCTGTACGTGCGTGAACTAGATTGTCAGTACTGACAGTGAATATTCAAACGCAACTTATATCTCTATTAAATTGTAAGTATTTGTATTTTGAGAGTGGATTGTAAGTCCTTTTTGACTATTACCCTCATTAAATACGATACATAAATACGCAGTATATTCATACTTTTCATAAGACGGCACGAACACTCTTGTCGTCGTGTACTCCGAGGACGTGATGTTGTCCGGTGTTTTGTGAGGCACCGCGGGCGTCCATGTTTGCGTAATGCATGACCGTCGCATTCATGCGAATAACCCCCTAGGGCGTCCTCGAACCTTCGAATTTATCAGCGTTTATGGGCACGACGCGCGCGTGAAGCCACGACTTTAACAATCGTCCTGATCTTTTCGTAACTTCGGCAGATTCTCGCAAAGGTTATCGCGAGTTGTAGAGGACAAGGACTAGTTTGACAAGTGCGAATCAAGGCGGAAGGCAGCTATCAAGTAACGAAGGCAGCTCCGAACGACGCGTTTTTTTGACGAAAGATTTATCGATGCAAATGGCAGATTTCAAGGTAAGACATACTTAATAATAGATTCGACAAACAATAACAGATGTAGACTTTTTAACTGCGCTTGTTGACACTTTCTGTAATGAATAAAGTACACTTAATGATATAATAGTTTATCATAGCAATAATATCATGTAGCTAACAATGTTTAGGATTTACAGATAAAGAAGGAGAAAAGACAAAATTCTAGGAAGGCAGGAAGTGCAGTTAAAAGGAATGCAATTGTAATATTGTTCTTATTACATGTACTTTTCTGTATTTTGATATATGATTAATGTTTTTCACCTGAAACATTACATTTGCATTACAAAGAACATAACATATATGAGATGCAAGTAGATCTGATAAGAATTTTTACAACATTATACTTTGGGAATAGTGAAGATTTAAAGATATTAAGATTTCAAGCTTATAATTTTTTATTATGAGCAAACACGTATCATGTCATATTATATTGCTTATTTTAACAAAGATGAATGGGTGATATTTTACATCTTTTGTTGTGACATTAATTATTATGTCTTTCAATTATTAAATGTCTATGTTTAATATATTGATTACTAAGCTTAAAATAAAAATTTTATTATAAAGTGATGTTCATTCAGAAATAAATAAGGAATAAGATTCTGCTTTCAATTTACATATTTTCAATCAGATTTGAAAAAGTATTGAAGATTTCATTGAAGATTAATGCTTTTCTAAATTAAATGGAAAAGATGTAAATTAAAAACATATTCTTTATTTATTTCTGAACGAACGTTACTTTTTAACAAAATTTTTATTTTATGTTTAGTAATCAAAAGTTTTGAACATGGATATTTAATAATTAAAGATATAACAATTGAGAAAGATGTAAAATGAGGGTTAATGCTTTTCCAAATTAAATTGAAGATATTTTGCTATTGGCTTATATCTTTTCAATTTAATTTGAAAAAGCATTAATCTTCATTAGGTCGTAATTCAAGAATTATGTTACAACATCTTTCTACAAACAATCTGCCGTTGTCACTTTCTATTCGCTAAGCACAGTACATTTTATACCTACATCAATTTCCTTCTCACAACTTGTTCTCACAACTCAGGTGATAAAAGCAGAAGTTTGTCACAGGATTCACTCCTGGCTGTTCCTTTTTTCGATCCTTCGAGTTAACACCGGTGACACGCACGCCGATATTATCATGCTAATTATAGAAACGCGTGCCAAAGGCATTAGTTGCCGTAATAGGAGCGAGTTCGGTCGAGTTCAGGTTGCGTGGCCGTGAACACCGATTATTAATCCTGAGGTTTAATGTCTTCATGCATGAGCGTGCATATAAGCGGAACCCACACGTCCTGCGATTTAATATCCTTTTATTAGGGGATAGTTAATGTCAACGTTGCTCGACGCGTATCACCACGAGCCGATTCGATTCCGATATTTACAAGCATTAACGCGATGATGTAAGTCCAACGCTCGTTTCATAATGCGGGGTAAAGCAGGGTAATTGCGACAACATTTTTCACTGATACAATTGATAGCTGCCGCCGTTTGCTAATCACATCGCGACATGCATTATGCAAATAATTATATTTTTATTTTATGAGAACTGCCAAGATACATTTGTACATTATCGGAGGCAAAACTCTCTTAGGTAAAAACAAAAACAGTCAATGTATACTTTTGATCATTTAATAAGTAGTCATATCATTGAATAATTAAATATTTAAGCAGTTATTAAATTCTGAATATTTCGATAATTAAATAGTAA